ATTTGTATAATATAACAATGTCTTGTTCAGTGTTATATGATCTCATTACTGTTATAAACAAACTACCACATGACAGTGACAGTATATATAGGAGGCTGTGATATAAAACCAGAAACAGAATTTGAAAACTTTAAAACATTTATAAAACAATCAGACAATTTTGTGGTCACCTATGATGACACCTTGGAGTCTGGAGAGTACGTGTTTGAGTTTAAAACAACAACAAGTACTGAGTAACCTTAAATGTACTTGGGAGAAACAATTTATAAATAGATTATGAGACAAGTGACAGGTGAAATAGACATCATTTTTTTATTTTAAGTCTGACATTTAATCAATACTTTGCTGTAGATAGAATTAACAGTTTCAAAATGTGAATATGAATGGAAACTGAGGATTTTTTTCAATGGGACAACAATTGTGGATTAATTTTAGATGTACTTAACCCAAGTAAGTGTTGTTTATTTTTTACATACATGTACTTTATAATAGTTATACTGGTTGGGGACCACCAAAACCGGACAACCACCAAACCCTGACGGCCTCGAATATGCTTAATTAAGTAATTTCTTTGTTCAGTGGTTGTCGGTCACCTTTTTATCAACAGTAAATGCATGTTTCTTCTAAATTTAAGAAAATGAATTTATTTCAACCTCCATAAATGGTAATATTTTAATGTCTATTTCAAGAATGTTGACGTTGAGATTTGGGGATCAAGAAAGCAATGCCTGACCTCATATACCAGCTATAATTATTTGCAGAGTAAACAATAGAATATCTAAAACTTCAGCATTTGTTGCTGAAATATTGTATATCATGTTAAAATCAAAAACCAATCACCCAAGCTTTTATCTGAATTAAATCACGTCATGTACATAACTGTCCGGACAAATGGTACTGTAGTGTAGACAATTTAGGTAATTTTGATACCCTCCTTGTCGAGCCTCAGATATAAGTGTCTATACAATCAGAAATAAATAAACTAGTTTGTTAGTTATGAGAAGAACCTAGCTGAACTGTGTCAAATTTGTTGGTCTCTAGGTTAAAAATTATGAAATCTGTACGGAAAAATGTTCAAAAAGTGTCCGGTTGATGGTCACCGACCAGTATGTTGCATATACATTGATGCTCCTGGGCCTGGAAGCATTATTAGCCTTACTATAAAGCATGTCATGCAAAATCAACCTTGGTCAGCTCATCCTGTGACCAACTTGTTACCTTTTGGGCAACTCGTAGCATGATTATTTGAAGAAGAAGAGTTATCCTAGTACCCATAGCTTGGGGTCTGCGTCGGCATAACCACTTATGCTAAAGTTTGCACACGTGTTCACCATTCTGCCCCAACCTGTAAATAAGAGGAGGTAGCTCTATCAAGTATTTTGACAGAATAATGCTCCCTTTTCTACTTATAATTTTCACCAAGTTTGTGTACCACCTTAAATATTTCAAAGTCCATTGACATATTGCCTGCTGCACAGTAAATGGGCCAATTGTGTTAGCATCTTAGTCAACAAATAAAGTTAAACATACAAGGAAATATTTGCTCTTTTTAAGAACCTTAGGATGTCTGTAACAATATTTTTGGGATGAAAGGATAAGTTTTTAAATACTTTTTTCAAAATATTAAATCTTATGCAGTGTTGGTAGGGGACGGATGTTACAAAGATATATACTAAAACTTAAAAAAGTCTGAATATCTTAAAATTTATAATAAAAATTGTATTGTTTCTCTTTATTTTATTAATATATAGTATGTATTCTGAAAAGTCTGTCACAAAACTTTTTCAGAAAATTCATCTTAGATATAAAAATATTTGCTTTCAAATTGCAGGGCTTTTTTGCACAGTTTGGGGAAGCAGCCCAGTCCTTAATTTTGGGGAAAAATTACAAGGTATATTTGCAAAAGGGGAAGAAAAAACTTGATGTAAATTCAATTTTTGGGGAAAACTGCATGATTTTAAAGAAATTTTCTTTGGGGAAGCAGCCCTATACCGGCCCCTGTTATAGAAGGTAAAAAGGCCCTGAATTGTCAGCATTTTCCCCCCGCAAAATTAAATCTTCAAACATGTTAGAAACATTAAGTAAAAAAAAAAGGATAGGTACATCAAACCATACTTAAATCAAATATGCAAACACATATTTTTTAAAACATTTAAAATTATGGGACTTTCTTATGTATATTTCTTGTCAGATAATCCAGAAATGAATTGTATCAGGGGGCGGATGTTACATTTTTTTTTGGAGGGGACGGATGTTACACTAGATGTTTAAAGCTGATAGTTCATACTTTCTTTTGGATTTATTATAAAGTAATAAAATTTCTAAGAGTATAATGCTTTGTATAGTACAATAAATGTATAATAATTGAACAAAGTATGAGAAAAATGTAGAAATATACCTGACAATTATGGAATTTCTTACTTTTTGCGTTTCGCAATGAAAAGATGCATTGATTTAGTTGTCTTCCAGTTATCTTACATTTGAATGAACTTTGAAACGTTTGGGTTAAATAAGATCATTGCTTATGAAATAAAAGAATCCTTGCTTCCTGGTCCAGATAATTATTAACACTGTGTTAATTTACTGTTAAAGAAAGAATGTCATACCAACGGTACCTTTCTATACATGAAATCATTTACAAAATACTTTACTTATATAATTAAGATTCATCTTTGTAAAATATATGATACAGTGTGGAGTAAATAAGATGTTTTCAAATTGAAACAACATGCAAGCTTTGAAATTTCTCATTACTTAATAAATAAATTTAAAAACAGTTAAAGATTTCCAATTAAAGATTGTAAGATTTTAAAATTGGGGTTGCAATTTAAAAGTACTATCGATTTGATTGAAAACTTTAAGTAAATTAATGTGGGGGAATAATCAGCCCAGCAATAACCAAGATTTCATTATGATTCAGTGTCATAAGTTAATTGTACCCCCACACAAAATGTAGGGAAAGGGGGGGGGGGGCTATTAATGGAAAATTTTCGTTTTTGTTCGCGTTCGGTCGTCGGTCCGTCGTCTCCAATTTTCGTGCCCGCTCTATTGGGTCCTATACCAATTTTAAGGATTTTCCCTTCAAACTTGGCCCTTCAAATGTTTCACCTCAACAAGGGGATGTGTCAGCTTAAGGTCAAGGTCACAAGGTCAAATATCAAACACAATCAAATATTAGACAGTATGTCGTGTCCGCTCTGTAAGTCCTACACTATATGATGGATATTTTTCAAACTTGGCTCAAATGTTCACCTCAACAAGGGGATGTGCAGAACCTATGTTGCCTATGTGTCAGCTCAAGGCCAAGGTCACAATTGAAGGTCAAATATCAAACAATCAAATATTACACAATATATCGTGTCTGCCTCTGTTAGTCAATTTTTTGCTTCAATCTTGGCTCAAAATGTTCACCTCAACAAGGTTATATGCAGAACCCATGTCACCCTTTTGCCGGCTTAAGGTAAAGGTCACACTTGAAGGTCAAAAAAATGAACTTAGAAAAAGTACTTAAATTTTCACATGTACTTGATTTTTTCTGAAACTAGAGAAGGTATTTGCTTGAAACTTAAAAGATATTATGAGGTGTCACGAATAAAATATGCAGGTCAAGTTTTTATAACTCTGTATTGCATTTTGACAAAGTTATGCCCCTTTTTAGCTGGACTTTTTTTTTTTTTTGAAAAAAAGTAGAGGTATTGTTATAGTCGTCGCCGACGGCGTTGCCGTCCGCAAACCTGGGATCATAACTTTTTTATTTCTTGGTATATTTTCTCATACTTGGCCACAACAACCCTTGGGAACAAGATCCTTTCAGGAAGGGAACCACACTAAACCTTGACCTTCATCCATGGACATTGGACCTTGGACCTTCAAGGTTAAAGTTCATCCAAAATTTTTGCTTGTTCCATGCTTGTTATTGGGCCTGTAACTTTGGTATTTTTTGAAATGGGTTGGGTCTTCAAACTTAAAACACTTAATAATTTCTTCAAGGAATAATCCTTTTAAAAAATAACCAGACAGACCTTAACCTTCACTCTTAATTTGACCTTTGACTTTGAAGTTCAAAATTATTTGAAATTGGGTCATTGTTTTGTGTATTTTTTGGTTATTTATTGAAGGGATCAACTTCTTTATTATAACAGAACATACCTAAGGACAAGACCTTGTTGTGACTTCACCACATGACTTTTACCAAAACGTGAACTCCACCAACCACCATGACACCACCACGTGAACTTCACCATGTTTGACACCACCACGGTGACACCACCATGAGATTCCACCTCGTGACTGCAACCACATGACTTTTTACCACGTGAACTCCACCAAGTGACTCCACCACGTGACTCTTTCCACGTGATTTTACCACGTTACTCCACCACGTGACTTTACCACGTGACTCTTCCACTTGACTTCACCACATTACTTCCACAACGTGACTTCACCACGTTACTTCACCACATGGGACTCCGCCACATGAACTTTACCCACGTGATTCCACCACGTGACTCCACCACGTGACTTTATCACGTGACTCCACACATGACTCCACCACGTGACAGTACCACGTGACTTCACCACCATGGACTCTACCACGTGACTTTACCAACGTGACTCCACCACGTGACTTTACCACCTGATTTTACCACGTGACTCCACCACGTGACTTTACCAACGTGACTCCACCACATGACTCTACCACGTGACACAACCACGTGACTCCACCACATGACTTTTTACCACATGACTTCACCACGTGACTCTAACCACGTGACACCATCAATGTGACTCCACCACGTGACACCACCACATGACACAACCACGTGACTCCACCACGTGTATCTATTTATTAGAATTTTCTATTTATAGAATAGCGTGTTTCTATTTATATATATAATTTAGTATATTTATATATTACAAAATATATGTGACATGACAGAGCCGATTAATTTTATAAAAAGGAAACGTTTAAAGATTTTGTTCAAATATTTCTTTGTTTGCTTTAAGAGAAAGTAAAAAATCGATGAGCGTTGCCCCCCGCCCCGGCGGTGGTTCTTTGTTAATTCTTTAAATTTACATACAATTCAATACTTTTTAGACAATATGTCTCGGTTCTGCTATATAGATTCTATACTAATGGAAGGAATTTTTTTTAAAACTTTACTCAATTGCCTCACCACAACTAGGCAATGTGCAGAACCCATCTTACCCTTATGGTGCCAGCTTAAGGTCAAAGGCCACACTTGGATTTGATTGATGGAACATGATTTGATAATAAAATATTTATACTTTTACCTGGTACAATTTAGTCTTTTTTCAACCAGAGATTAAATTTCCCTTTTTTAATGTATTTGGTGTGCCACTAAATTATTCCCTTAACCACCTTTTCCAAGTTGTCTTTTGTCCAAGGACATTGGTGGGGGTATGAATCGCATTCAGTGATAGTTCTA